TTATATTATCTCTACCCTAAATAATCTTCCTTTTTTGACTTTTTAGTCATATTTTACAAATTTGGACTACAAATTATGAAAACATATATATTTAATTATGATATAAATTTAATATAATTAAATTGATTTTAAAATTTAGTTTTGAAATATCAAATTTTTCTCACATCTATTACTCCGTAATATACTTATGAACATAAAGGAAAGGATAAAAGATAAATTCAAATAGTCTTATGTTCCATTTGAATACAATGTGGTAAAAATTGAGTAAAATTGGGTGAAATTAAGTGAATTTTATTCAATAGAGTGCAAAATTTGTAAATTATTGAGTATATTTGGTTGAAAATAGAGAAAATTAAATTTAATAGAGTCAAATATAATTAATTTTACACCTAAATGTAATGGTTTAGATCAAATTTGAAAATGATAACAGCAAAGGCTGCCGCTAGAGAATCTTTTCAAAATGCTAACACTAGCATCTAATTTTATTGACTAATATTTAGTGAATTGGTTTGAAACTAATCAAATTAACTCTCAAATCAATAAAATTTATTGTAATAAGATGAAATTAGGATAAAATCTAGTTATTCCATACAATTCATCATATATTCCTTTCGTCCCAAAAAGAATATCACACTTCACTATTTAAAAACTACGGAAATTTTATTTATTTGTGCGTTATCATTTATATGTATAACTTATCTTTAATTTCTACATATAACAAATTTAAGGCATAAAATTTTGTACTTTTTTTCAAGAAGATAATCAATTTTATGAGGGAATGAGCAAGTAATGTAATTAGTTTAAATGGTAAAATAAAAATAAAAAATTTAAAAATATAATATGCTTATTGAAAGGCAAACATAGTTCTGAATTTATCGATTTTACTTCTAATCGGGTTCGGATATTTTCGGTTTCAAATCTAATCGGTTTCGGATTTTATCGGTTTTGGGTATTATCGGGTTCGGATTTAATCGGTTTCGGGTTTAATCGGTTCGGATATTATCGGTTTCGGATCTAATCGGTTTCGGATTTAAATCGGATATGAATTATTTAGTTCGGTTTCGGTTCGATTCGGATCATTTCGGGTTTTCGGTTATAGATCGGATCTTCATTTTTCGGGTCATTCCGGTTTCGGTTTCAGATATTTCGGTTCGGGTAATCGGTTCCGGTTCTGTTTTGCCAGGTCAACTTACTCCCTCCCTAAAATATTTATCAAATTTCGAACAATATGTAAAGTTTGATATCTTTTAAAATCATTTTATTTACAAATTGGTAGATAAATAAAAAGTACAAGAATATTTTATTTTATTAAAAGCAAAAATGAGTAAACAAATAAAAATTGTCGAAAGACTAAAATAATAACTATGGCATTATTTTTTATACGTAAGGAGAAATTAAATTTGTAATGATATACTCGTATTGTTTTGTTTATATGTCTATAAAATACTCCCTCCGTCCTAAAACTTTCTTCCCGTTGCGCAAAACGAAGAAAAATCTCAAGTTTTTTCAATCTATTTTATTTAAATATTGGTATAGAAATAAAAAATAAAACATACATATTTAAAAACTACATCAAAAGTTCAACAAAACAACTAGTGACAAGAATATTTTATTTTATCATATAGGCCATGAAAAAACACAAATAAATATAAATTTCCGTGAAGTTGAATAGTGCTCTGGGAAGAAAGTTTTAGGACGGAGGGAGTACTTGATACGGAGTATAAAATTCTTGGGGTCAAATTTGGTGGTTTTTCGAGCATGACTCGTTTTTATTTACTTAAAAAAACTCTTGCTTGGTCTTTTTAATAACCTTAATTTTATTTGCTTGGACTAAATAAAATTTTTAACTAATTCATCTGCATACTCTCTTTCTCAAATGACTTTCTTGTCCTCTTAAAATAATTTGATGATGTGATGTGTGTCTAATAATTTGGCGACCACTTTCAACGAATGGGGATGGAATTGGGGAGGAGTCAAACGCAAGCTAGAGGCGATAAAAAAGATGATGTTGAAGTGATTTGACTTATTACTACTCTTCCCCTTTCAAATTAATTTTTTTCTTAAATAAACTTATACTCCGTATTCTCTTTGTTTATAAATAAAATTATTGCTTTGATTTTAAACGCAAACTAAGAAAAAATAAAAAAAATTTTGACTTTCCAAAATTATTCTTGGGTCATTTCAAAAAGTGAAATAGAGTATATGTATGAATCATAATTAATGGATAAAGGTGATGATAGTAAGAATGGTTTAAACAAAAAGTATTCGCCAAAAAAGTAAATGAAAAGATAATTTATACACGGACAAATAAAGAAAATGAAAAGTTTATTTATGGACGGAGAGAGTACTCTATTTCTGATTTTATTATTTTCAGAAAATAAGTAGTTAAGAGAATCTAAAAATCATACTCCCTCATTTCTCAAAAATACTTCCTTTTTCCTTTTTTTCACTTCCAACAAAATACTTCCACTTTTTATTAAAAAACCACTTTTACCCTTGCTTTTTTATACCCTATCTATCACATCATATTTTTTCTCTAATAATCTATTCATCACATCTTACTTTTACCCATCACATCAGAGGCAAAATCGGAAGTCAATTATAATTTAACACTCCCTTAGTTTTGCTCCAAGTCAAAATAGGAAGCCTTTTTGCAAAAGGAGGGAGTATATAATTTCAACCATAGTTTTAAAAACCGGACCGGACCGGGAACTGGTGAACCGGACACCAAACCGGTCCGGTCCGGGCATTCAGACCGCCTTCGACTATGAACCGAGGGACACCGGAGAAAACCGGCCGGTTTTACCGCCGGATCCGGTTTTTCAATCCTTTTTTAAGAATTTTAAAAACCGCACGCCTGGGGGGTTCAAACACACGACTGCATGGAAGGAAGGAGCTTCTCCTAACCATCTCTGCAACAATGCTTGTTGGGAAATTTCTACAATTCGTTAATTATATCCTTTATTCAAATTTTTTTAATCAAATACTTTTTAAGTATATATAGTTTATTTTTACTAAAATTCAAAACCCATTGAAATACGAGTAATTGATATTGAGTGCATATCACAAAAATATTTTATATATATTTTTAAATTAAGTTACTCCGTAAATTATAAATTTAGTCAAACATCAATTCTTTATTTACAAATAGAGGAAATATTATTTTATTAATGATATATTAGTTTTTTAAATTCAATGCCACAATGTGTGTGTATGTCTATATATATATTATACACACACACACACACACACACACACACACACATATATATATATATTAAAAATGTTTGAACCACCGGTTCAACCAGTGAACCAGTGCCTTGACCAGTTCGATCACCGGTTCGATTCTGAAAACTATGATTTCAACGATTAACAATTATTCAGTAATTAAATTTGGATCTTTTTAGAGATTTCAATGAAGGCTTTTACGATTTACTATATGTAAATACTTTTATTGTTCTTAAGTTTCATACTCATTTTATGGATCTTAGTATATAAATATAATAAATAAATTGCGCTCTTTGAAAAAAATAAAAATTCTCTTGTCGGTCTATAAAAAGTGTGAGAAAATCAACATTTTACATGTAGACCTTGATGGGTATATCCTTATACCCGACCCGGATAACCGAAAGGGACAGGTCAAAATATAACCGGTCACTTTTATCAATCACCAAATGAGGTTAACTCTTTGATTGGGACGGGTCAAAAATTGACCGATCACTTCCACAAAAAGTGACCGGTCACATTTTGGGCGATAGCCAAAATGTCACCTAATGTGGCGAAGAATTCAAGAAGACCAAAGAGACGGGCTGAGCTCAAGAAATGACTGGTCAACCTTTGAGAAAAAGGTGACCGATCATATCATCTTACTTGACAAACATTGGTCCAGTATCTCAGGCATGGTAAACCATGTCAAAGATCGAGGGACCACCCCGCCGTTCGTCCATCACGAGACAAACAGTGAAAGAGATGTTTGTCACCTTGCAGGGCTGATTGGATTGAGAATATCCATTTATAGTCTTTGATTGAACAGTGCTTCTTGGTTGTATTAGTAGCAAGTCTATGATTGAACAATGATTAGATTATGTACAGTGACCTTCCTCCGGGTTTCCTATTTTGTCCATGGGTGAACAGGGGAAGGTCACAAATCCTCCTCTATAAATATGATGATATTGGAAAGAGGAGGGGATCCAATTTTTCTCTCACTAAAAGTTCACTCTTGAGATAGATTAAGAAATATAATTCGGACTGAGGAGATTTACCCGGTCTAGGTCATACTTTGTGTTCTTGTTGTGTGTATTTTATTACGGGTCGAGTGTGTCCAGGTCAAACCCGGTTATCCCACCCATCTATATTTACACCATCATTTTTGGCGCCAACCGTGGGACCTGATTTGTAAAGTTTTTAGGCCAGGTCAAAACTTTATCCCCATAAAATATCCACGATCATGTCTTCAAGCAACCATACCGTTGTTTCAGGCCAGGCTGCGAGTGAAAGCACTCCTGCCATCCCGCTGATGATAACGAGCATGGGGTCGACTTTCACCCCGATCACCTCAATGGGATCGCTTGGGATGATCCCAATCATGTCGACCCCTACTCCGATGCCGACAACGACGATGTTCCTAGGATCAATAACGACGCCTAGTGGAGCATTCACGCCATACTCGTCCAGCTTGGCTCAATTTGCTGCTGACCCGGCAAATGCTCAAGCTCTGCAAGGCTATCAACAGGTGATGGCCATGATGCAATAGGCAGGGGGCTTCATGCCATTTGCCTATCCTGGCATGATGCCACCAATTATGCCACCCCCAGTGTCGACCCCATCGACATTTTTCCCTAGGATGGTTCCTATACGCCCGGTGAATTTGATAGGGACCATGAACGAAGCAGCACCTTCAAATGTCCATGAGGTTGACGAGGCGGAGCAAGAGGCGGCCCGCAGAAGGAAGGGTAAGGCTATAGCCAAGCCCAGCAAAACTCGGGATTCAGCGTTCAAACGCCTAGGGGACAAGGAAGATGGACCTCGCAAGTCTGCCAAGCTACGTCTTGGTCTTGAGATGGCCGGACTAGCGCAATGGAAAGACTTGGCGGGAGTCGTCACGCCCAATCTCGTCGTTCTAGGGAATCTGAGACGATTCACCAAGACGAGGAAGAAGCAGAAAGCCAGCCCAGAGCATCGGCATATACTAGTCTCTCATACGATGAGGATGACCTGGACAAGATAGGGAGCGTAGCAAGAAAGCTACGTGCCCTGGAGGAAAAGGTGGAAGAGAAGGCGGGAGCAAAAAAGCACACCCTGGCTAAATCTCCCTTTTCGGCCAGGGTACATGCACAGAAATTGAGGCGGAAGATTAAGCTGGACGTGGAGAAATTCATAGGAAAGGAGGATCCAAACGTCCACCTTGACACCTTCCACAATGCAGCACAAATGGCCGGGTGCACTGATGCTGAGGAATGCCTACTCTTCTTCTCGTCCTTGAGAGGGAGGCCAGTGGAATGGTTTAACGGCCTTCCACATGGTAAAATCGGGTCCTTTAAGAAACTTTCCGAAGTTTTTCGCAAGAAGTACCAGGACAATTGTATCAAACGGAAGAAGTTCACCTACCTAAACACGGTAGGGCAGAGGGAGAAGGAGTCCTTGACTCAATTTTTGACCCGCTGGAGGGACGAGGTTGACAATGTAGAAGAGATGGACGATAAGACGGCCATGTCTTTGCTGATGAATGCCTTTGGTCGGGTGACCTCTACACTGAATTTTGTAGGAGACCACCCTCTTCTTATCAGGAAGCCTACAATACGGCATGGGAGTATGCCGAGGCGGAGGTCCTAAACAAGAGCAAGCGAGAGCTGGAGGAAGGCTACACAAGGGTGAAAACCGACAAGCCGAAGAAAGGAAGGTCAGGATTGGGACTGATCTTCAGGAGGAGCTAAGGACAAGGGTGAGGAGAAGGCTAGGATTGAGCCGGATGCAAAGGGTGAGGAGAAGGCTAGGATTGAGCCGGATGCAAACACAGAAGAGATCCAGACTGATACCTCTAATCCTGAAAGGAAGGTCAGGATTGGGACTGATCTTCAGGAGGAGCTAAGGACTGAGATTGTCCAGGTGCTGACCAGGTATAAATCTTTGTTTGCCTAGAGTGTTGCCGATATGCCCGGAATTGACCGGTCAGTCATTTGCCATCGTCTCTCTGTTCTTGAGGGGTCTAGGCCTATAATACAGAAGAAGAGATTCTTGGCAAGTGAAAGGAGGGACTTTGTCAAGAAGGAGGTCAAGGACCTACTTGAGGTAGGTCATATCAGGGAAGTAAACTACCCTGAATGGTTGGACAATGTGGTCCTAGCCCCGAAGGGTGATACCTGGAAGATGTGTGTGGACTACACAGACCTCAACAAGGCATGCCCAATGGATTCTTATCCTCTCCCTAGCCCGGACCAAATGGTGGACGAAACTGCCGGATGTGAGTTGCTCAGTTTCATGGATGCCTTCAAGGGGTATCACCAAATCTTCATGGCGGAAGATGATGAGAAGAAGACGGCCTTCCTCACTCCGGACGGCACATACTGTTACAAAGTGATGGCCTTTGGGTTGAAAAACTCAGGGGCAACTTACCAGAGAATGGTCAACAAATTGTTCAGGCCTTTGCTTGGACGGACCATGGAGGCCTATGTCGATGATATGCTGGTGAAGAGCAGGGCAGCCAGCACACACGCTCAGGACCTGGAACAATGCTTTGAGATTATGGCCAGGCATAATCTCAGACTTAATCCAAAAAAGTGTGTTTCTGCTGTGAGGACGGGGAAGTTCCTGGGCTTCATGGTCACAAAGAGGGGGATTGAGCCAAACCCTGAAAAGATCAAGGCCATTGTGGAGATGCAACCCCCGACATCGGTAAGGGATGTCCAAAGGTTAACAGGGCGCTTGGCGGCCTTAAACCGGTTCTTGTCCAGGTCGGCAGAGAAGGCTTTGCCTTTCTTTAAGGTTTTAAAGAAAGCCAATACCTTCCAGTGGGATGATGAATGCGCCAGGGCATTCGAAGAGCTAAAGACATACCTGACTTCGGACATTGTCATGTCCAAGCCAGAAACGAAGGAGACGCTATACCTCTACTTGGGGGTAACCCAAATGGCCGTTAGCTTGGTCTTAATGAGGGATGATGGGGTCTAGAGGCGCATCTATTATGTAAGCAAGGCTTTAAATGGGGCGGAAAGTAGGTGGAAAATGCAAACCGCACAATAGTCGATGGCATCAAGAAGCGACTAGGAGAGGCTAGAACGAATTGGTTGGAAGAATTGCCACATATCATCTGGGCTTACCGAGTCACTTCGAGAAGGGCCACCGGGGAGACACCTTTCGTCCTTACATATGGGTGTGAGGCCAGACTACCCATCGAAGCAAAAATAATGACCTTCCGGGAAAAGATCTATGAGGAGAAAGGGAATGAGGAAGACCATTTGGCAGAGCTAAACTTGCTGGAAGAAAGGCGGATGGTCGCTGAGGCTAAAATGATAGAATACCAGCAAGCAGCCAAGGCCTACCATGATAACAAGGTAGGGCCTCGTTATTTCCAAGTGGGTGACGAGGTCCTGAGACGGAGGGAGGCTAGCAAACCAGGAGACGGAGGAAAGCTTGCAAAGAAATGGGAAGGTCCATATAGGGTCACGGCAATATTACGCCCTGGGACGTACAAGTTAGAAACGATGGAAGGTGTTGGAATTCCCACCACCTTAGAAAATTCTACCGATAGACCAAAATTGGCAGGGCATGTATTTATAACACCCCCTTCGATGATAAATAAAAGCTTTCTTCAATACTTGTGTTGCTGGGTCAGTGATGCTAAAATAGCTTGTCTTGATGTAAGAGGCAAGATAAAAAAAGATAGACCCTTGAGATGGGGACCTCGATGTTGAGGTATAGCCTTGAGATAGGCTGGGTCTGGAAGAGGACTCGCGTCCATACTTACATGGATCCCTACCAAATTGATGTTTGGATAGGGGCGAAAAGATGCCAAAATAAAAAATGTTTACCGTCTTGCATGAGCCATCCTTTGCGGATTGAAGGGTCTAGGGAAAACTAGAATTCACTTCAAACGCATAACATATGGACATGTAAGATTGGGTGAGGGCTGGTTCTCACCGGCATACCCCCATGAGGGAAGATTGGGTTGGCTAGGTTAACCTAATGATTATAAAATGGCACATTAAAAGACTTAAAACCTGGAAGAGGGGCCCTGGGAGAAGGGTGTTGCCTAGGAGAGGGCTGAACCTTGGAGAGGGTTCGCGACCATAGGACATGGTCAAAATCTCCGAAAAAAGGTCGGGTCTTGATGTTGAGACTTAAGACGAAAACCGTTTCGGAATATTCGTTCGAAGCTTGGTTGAGGTTGGTGTTGAACACGATAGACATGCCAGATGGGATATGAAAAGGGCATGGTCAAAAAATGACCGGTCACTTTTTGATACTCTGGATTGGCAAGAAAAGGCGAATGGGAAAAAATTAAAATTTGACCGGTCAACTTTTAAAAAAGTGACCGGTCACTTTTTAAAGGTTGGATTTGAGGAAATCAGGCAAATCTGGAAAACTCCCATTTTGACTGGTCACATTTTTTAACCCGACACCTGGACAGAAATTTGAGACAATATTGGTTACGTAGCGCAACCAAACCATTGAAAGTGGACCAGGACAAATTCCGCCTAGACATTTATTACATTTCAACCTGGAAGTGACCTGGATATTTTCAAGTTTAGAGACCAGGACATGAAGTGACCTGGACATTTTCAAGACTTGTATTCAACCAGGACATGAGATGACCTGGACATCTTCAAGATTAAAAGACCTGGACGTTTTCAAAATTACAACCAGGCCAACCAGACCTAGATATTTTTAACATGTTATCTCATCATGCCTAGGCCGATTACTTCTATCAACCAAGCCAATTAGACCTGGATGTTTAAAAGACCAGGACATGAGATGACCTGGACAATCTTTAAACGATTCTTAATGTATATGGCCGGTTATTAATATTGACTTGGAAGTTCAACCCAACATGATAAAATAAGGGCAAGTCTGACCGTGCAACTTCAAGAACAGGATCAAGCAAGGAAAACAACCGTGCAAGAAATCAAACAATGATCAGGCGAGAGAAATAAGTATAACCAAGCAACTTGAACTAAATATGACCGGCAATCTTTTAAAGGCAAACCAAGAAAACTTAATGTTACACAGGTTAAATATTAGGCCGGACATCCCCCAGGCCTTGGGAAAATTCAGAGTTTTACATCAAACCCTAACCTATTGCAAGGGGAAAGGGGGGGTTGGCTCTTCCTTGTAGAGGGCTGGAAGCTTCATCTTGGCCGGGTCAAAGGAAGGGTCCCTCTTCTGAAGTCTGGCATAGAGAAGAGACCTCTCATCCTTCTGGCCACACTGGAAGCCGTATGAACCAATCTTGGTTATCATCCTCTTGCCTTCCGGTTCTTTATACATGGTATTAAAGAAGTCTATGGTTTCTTCCGGTGTAGTGAGAATAGACCGGGCAACTTCCAAGTGATGGCGTGTAGCCCAGTCAGTAGCTTCAGTGGGAAAGGCCTCCTCCTTTGCCCGGGCAGATTCTTCAGCCTGGCCCAACGCTTCCTCTGTGACCTTCCTCTTCCCCTCCTCCTCCAAACGGGCAGATCTTGCCCTCTCCTCCTCCAGCAAGGCACTTTCCTCCTCAAGCTTGGCCCTCTCAGTCCTCAGCTCTACCTCTTACCGTCTCTCCCTCTCGACCAGGTCATTTATTTCTGATTTGGCCGAATCAAGCAGGAGATTCAGTTGAGAGGGCTGGCTGGTTGGCTCGATGAGTGACTGGCCAATCTCTTCAGAAAGGACTCCAAGCTGGAAAAGAAGTTTGTCAGTTAAAGTGGAGGAAATAGTTAAACCGGGCGAAAAAGTAGAGATGGCATACCCTTTGGAGTCTTCTGGTCAAGGCTAGGAAGGCCTCTTCAACCGACTCCCCCTCCATGTCAAGCGACCCGGTCTTCTTCTTCTTGCCCCCTTTGGAACTCTTATGGGAGCCCTTCCTTTTCTGGCCCTTAGCACGGGGAGAAGAATGGCCGACCTCCTTAGACTTGGATTCGACCTGGGCTTGGAGAGAATCAACCCGGTCATCCTCGAAGAGATGGGTGGCCGAAGGGGACTTCACCTTCTTATCTCGGATGAGATCGTCAAAGGAAATGCACCGGGCAGATGAAGCCCCTTCCATCCCAGGGTTCTGAGGAGGAGAAGGAGGGTTGTTATTAGGAGACCAGTTGGAGTGGAGGACTTCAACATCATCGTCGTCATCTTCGATGATGGTGGACATCCTGGTGAAGTTCATGTCTGCCAAAAAGAACAAAGCAGCCGGTTAAACATTTTACCTTAAGGAAAATGTAAAATAAAGAGTTTGAAGAAAGGTGACTAACCTGGATGAGGAGAACTGCCCTCAGCATGACCATTCGAGGACTTGGCCCGGTCATCTTCTGCGTCATGGGTCGCAGACACACCCCCATCCGGGTTAGGTAACCGGTATACACATCCACCATAGGCGTATGGCTTACCGGTCACGGGATCACCAAATGAGGTTAACTTTTCGATTGGGACGGGTCAAAAATTGACCGGTCACTTCCACTAAAAAAGTGACCGGTCACATTTTGGGCGATAGCCAAAATGTCACCTAACGTGGCGAAGAATTCAAGAAGACCAAAGAGACGGGCTGAGCTCAAGAAATGACCGGTCAACCTTTGAGAAAAAGGTGACCGATCATATCATCTTACTTGACAAACATTGGTCAAGTATCTCAGGCATGGTAAACCATGTCAAAGATCGAGGGACCACCCCGCCGTTCGTCCATCACGAGACAAACAGTGAAAAGGATGTTTGTCACGTTGCAGGGCTGATTGGATTGAGAATATCCCATTTATAGTCTTTGATTGAACAGTGCTTCTTGGTTGTATTAGTAGCAAGTCTATGATTGAACAGTGATTAGATTATGTACAGTGACCTTCCTCCGGGTTTCTTTTTACTAAAATTCAAAACCCATTGAAATACGAGTAATTGATATTGAGTGCATATCACAAAAATATTATATATATATTTTTAAATTAAGTTACTCCGTAAATTATAAATTTAGTCAAACATCAATTCTTTATTTACAAATAGAGGAAATATTATTTTATTAATCATATATTAGTTTTTTAAATTCAATGCCACAATGTGTGTGTATGTCTATATATATATATATATATTTTATATATATATATATATATATATATATATATATATATATATATATATATATATATATATATATATATATATATATATATATATATATATATATATATATATATTAAAAATGTTTGAACCACCGGTTCAACTAGTGAACCAGTGCCTTGACCGGTTCGATCACCGGTTCGATTCTGAAAACTATGATTTCAACGATTAACAATTATTCAGTAATTAAATTTGGATCTTTTTAGAGATTTCAATGAAGGCTTTTACGATTTACTATATGTAAATACTTCTATTATTCTTAAGTTTCATACTCATTTTATGGATCTTAGTATATAAATATAATAAATAAATTGCGCTCTTTGAAAAAAATAAAAATTCTCTTGTCGGTCTATAAAAAGTGTGAGAAAATCAACATTTTACATGTAGACCTTGATGGGTATATCCTTATACCCGACCCAGATAACCGAAAGGGACAGGTCAAAATATGACCGGTCACTTTTATCAATCACCAAATGAGGTTAACTCTTTGATTGGGACGGGTCAAAAATTGACCGATCACTTCCACTAAAAAAGTGACCGGTCACATTTTGGGCGATAGCCAAAATGTCACCTAATGTGGCGAAGAATTCAAGAAGACCAAAGAGACGGGCTGAGCTCAAGAAATGACTGGTCAACCTTTGAGAAAAAGGTGACCGATCATATCATCTTACTTGACAAACATTGGTCCAGTATCTCAGGCATGGTAAACCATGTCAAAGATCGAGGGACCACCCCGCCGTTCGTCCATCACGAGACAAACAGTGAAAGGGATGTTTGTCACCTTGCAGGGCTGATTGGATTGAGAATATCCATTTATAGTCTTTGATTGAACAGTGCTTCTTGGTTGTATTAGTAGCAAGTCTATGATTGAACAATGATTAGATTATGTACAGTGACCTTCCTCCGGGTTTCCTATTTTGTCCATGGGTGAACAGGGGAAGATCACAAATCCTCCTCTATAAATATGATGATATTGGAAAGAGGAGGGGATCCAATTTTTCTCTCACTAAAAGTTCACTCTTGAGATAGATTAAGAAATATAATTCGGACTGAGGAGATTTACCTGGTCTAGGTCATACTTTGTGTTCTTGTTGTGTGTATTTTATTACGGGTCGAGTGTGTCCAGGTGAAACCCGGTTATCCCACCTATCTATATTTACACCATCAGACCTTATGATCATGGAAACACAACTCTTTAATATATAACGAATAATCAGTAAAAAGTTTCTATATGGTTTCCTTAGGGTCTATCTAGTTTTCTAAATTGTGATTTCAGAAGAGTAAAGAACAAGGCAATGATGGTAATCGACTAATCATGGATGAAAGGGTATAAGTCAAGACGAGTAGAAAAAAGTCAATAAAAAGACTAGAGGCATACATCATCAATACCATAACTAATCGGCTTCGAGAGCAACTTGAATATATTTCCTTCCCAAAATATGGGCTAATAACATGATTAATCCCTGAGGTTTACAACAGGGGCACCAAAATCTCCTCTACTTTTAAAAATGACTATCTTTGTCTTAATTTAAATTGCATATATACTATTAACAAAGTCAAACTTTAACCACTTCCATTATCTGTTTTCGTTACTCATTTGATAAAATAATATAATCATGTCACCTTTTGTTTTGTCGAACTTTTGATATAGTTTTTAGATATATAAAATTTATTTTTAAATTTCACACCAATTTTCATATAAAATGAATTAAAATTAATTTGAGGTCAAACATCGTAAACTAAAACGGACAATTTAAATTGGGACTAAAGAAGTATTTATAAAACTCATATGGTTTCTGATTAGTACATGCATGCCACTTCTAATCTATTTTTGAAATTAAAATGACATTTATGTCCCTTCTATCCCTCTATCATAAAATTTCAGTCTTTAATTTTTAAATTTTCTTATTTATACAAATAAATAAAATAGCATATACGCTCTCCATCTCAAATAAAATTAAATTCTTTTCTTTATTTTTTTAAAAATGGAGAACAATACAAAAGAAAATAATTAATATACTCTGTACGAAGTAAAAGATAAAAATCAAAAACAGTAATCGAAAAGAAAAAATTTAAAGAACATCTTTTCCTATTTCATTTCTTTAAGTGCCAAAAGCAATATTTTAAATATAAAAATAAATAAGTTGAAATTTCTTGAAAATAACAGAGTGAAACATCATGGTAGAAGGAGAGAAGGGGCATAGATGTCATTTTAATTTTGAAAATGGGTTTGGGGGAGGGTGTGTATGTGTGTATGTACACACAAATTAGAAACCATACGGTTTGTACAAATAACTTTTCAAACTAGAAAGAATTTTGGTGCTCCTTTGGTAAACGACTGAAGATAACAATGCTATTATCCTCCCTAAATATTTATCTAGTTTTAAATTTTTTGCAGTCATAATTGATAAATTTTTATTATTAGTTAAACAAATTTTATATTAGATATATTGATACAAAAATAATTTTATTAGATTTATCTTGTAAAATAGTTCCAAAATATGCTTTTATCTAATTAATATACCATATACTCCGTAATTTTCATTAGGATATAAGTAAAAAATTATTTCGATTGATTGCAGAAATTCAAACCTAAATAAATATTCAAGGACGGAGAGAGTATCATTTAGACATTTTTATGGTGGATAGATGGATGATAGTTTCATAATGAACTTTTATTGTATAAATGTTATGAGACGAAGAGAGTATAATTCAATCGTTGTTAAGGTAGGTAGATGGATGGTAGTTTCATCATTAACTTTTTTATGGATATTTTTAAAAGAAAAATATTTTAAAGACACTTTTATAAAGGGTCATACAGATCGTTCTTATTAATAGTTTTAGAAGAAAAACATTTTTTAGGCAGTTTTATTTTCGGTTGATGAGATATGTCTTAATTGTCACAAGGTATGTTTGGATCCATTTGGGGAGCATGCAGTACATTGTAAAGAGATATCCAAGTTTAAGTATTTGCATAATTTGGTCAGGGACATTGTCTTTGACATATTCCGGCGTGTCGGAGTTTTTGTTAAGAAAGGAACACTTGTGAATTTCTTAATTAACTTGTTGAAAGGAACATCCACACTTGACCTGCCGACATTTTGGTCTATGGATGGATGGGATACATGCTTGTGTAGATTTAAGAAGAGTTTCTCTTCTTGTGGGCTTGGAGACTGATGTTTTCACAGTGGGCCGGGGATGGATGAGATACATGCTTGTTGTACTTTTGCTTTCTATTTCGATGTATTAGAAAATTATATTCCATGTAATTTTGAAATATTAAAATGAGTGGAATTGTTATAAAAAATTCATTAACATTTTTAAAGCAGTTTTTATAATGCTTTGAATCGGCATCCTTTAGATCGTTCTTATGTGAGGCTTTTTCTCTCAGAATGTGAATTTTTAATGCTTTCTTTTGGTAGTTGTGGCATTTCTCATATTCGGGGCACTATAAACAACGTTGCTCATGTTTTGGCTCATTTTGTTAATGACTAGACTAAATCGAGGAGTTTTTTTAGTTCTATTGACTCAATTATAACGTAATATCTATTCATACTTATCTTAATTTATTGATATATAAAGGGCCAATGCCCCCGTCTCCAAAGGGACTTGAATCTGGGTGAACTTCCTCTTGAATCTTGGAAAGTGGGCTTCCTACCACTCAAATTAGGGGAGAAGTTCAAGTGAGCCGATGAGTTGGTATGGTGCTCCTTTAGTTTGTATTCAACATTTAATCTGATTGATCTTCACATTAAAAAAGAACCAGTTTCAAAACAACGAGTATCTATTGGTGTTAAAAGAGCCCCCCCCTAAAATTATTAGTGATGGACGCGGTCCGTTATAGTCTGTGATACTACCGGAACTTATCAGAGACTGCTATTCCAGGCTATTATTTAAGTGGTTCGGTATCAATACAGGATGAAACCCAAAAGTATTCGATACCATTTCATTTTGAAACATAATCATACAATTAGGGGTGTTCATCGGTCTAAAACTGGACTGGACCGGATCGGACCGGACCGAAAACCGAAATACGCCAAAATCAAGACCGAAGACCGGACCTAAATGTTGTCGGTTTTGGACCGGACCGGACTGAAATAAATTGGACCGAACCGGTATGGACTGAATAGACCGAATCCAAGATAAAAAAAATTCAAATTTCAATTCTAGTGAAAAAAGTACTACATATGACTTCATAATTTAGAGTCCATTAGTCCAAGAACATACACCATGCAACCAATGCATTTCTTAATACAATAAGCATGACAATAAATTAAAAAACTATAAACAGTAACATCTTTTCAAGCAAAAACAAAGGAATACAGCTCCTTAAAAAGTAAAAATAAACAAAGATCAATAGTCCAATTGGAAAAACTGCTGGAGGACTGGAGGTGGAATAAGCATAGAGCAATAAGTACAAAAAAAGACACCCAGGCAGAAAAGGAAAAGAACAAGGGGGGGGAGTGTTGGAGCCTGGAGGTGGAAGAAAAACTGAGCTATTTATTCCGTCACGAAGATCAAGTCATCTTCTATATTCACATCCTTCAAATCTGAAAAACAAATAAATGTTGTATATATAAAAAATAAACTATGTAAAATAAAATGCATATAATATTTATGTTTTAAATTTTAATACCTTTCTCCAAGTTTTCCAACTCTTGTAGATTTTCTTCCATATCAAGTTTTTTCTTTCGAAGAAGTGCACGAATCCAATCTTGCCCACATATAAGAGCTTGAACCATCTTTTATTATAAGATTAACAAATAGCAAACATTAGTGAAATAAAATAATGTGCTATTTATAAAAAAACATTTAAGTAAAAAAATGTGAAATATTTGACATCACCTTAGGTGTTAAAGAACTTCGAAATTGATCCAAATGACGCCCACCCGCACTAAAAGCAGACTCAGATGCAACAGTTGACACGGGTATGGCTAATATGTCACGAGCCATGCGTGCCACTATAGGAAATCTAGGTTCATTAAGTTTCCACCAAGCTAACACCTCTTTCTCTTCATCATCACCCATTATCTCATCCAAATATCTATCGAATTCTGTTCTCAAAAACTTATTTCCCGTGTCACATCCTCTCATCTTCATTTTGACTTGCTCACTAATAGAATTCATAAGGTCTACACTTCCTCCTTTGGTAGATGGAATACTTTGAACCATAGTCGAGCTTTCCCCAGAATCCCCACTTTGAAGATTTGAGGGGGCATACATTCGTCTATACTCATCAAACAAAGATTCTGCAAACTTCTTTACCTTTTTGGCTCTCTCCTCCCCTTTCTCTGCACCATACATAGAATGTAAAGTAAGTTGAATCCCAACATACTTCAAGCATGGATCAAGAATGACTCCCATGTAAATCAACTTGTTCAATTTTGAAATGTCTCCCCAATACTTATCATACTTTTCTTTCATTTGTAATGCCATAAGCTCAAAATCCTTATCAACATCTAATGACCATTGGCACAATAAATTATGTGTATGACTAATATGAAAGAACAAGGAATTACTAGTAACAAACAACGAGCCCGATACACGAGTAGTTAAATCATAGAACTCCTTTAAAAAAGTAACAAGTCTTTCAACCTTATTCCACTCCTCAACCAAAGGGGCAGTAACACCACCTGAATACTTCATCTTACCAAAGACAAGTCTATACTTCAAAGCAGTATTCAACATTTCATAAGTTGAGTTCCGCCTGGTGCAACAATCAAGACTTAAAGACAACTTGCAATCAATTTTACTTCTTTCAGCTAACTCATTGAAGTAAACATTTCTAGCAGGCGAACCCTTAACATATTTAATAGCTGATCGAACACTTTCTATGCACGTACCATAGTGTTTCAAACCATCCCAAACAATCAAGTTTATAATATGCGCAACACATCTCATGTGCATGTTCTTTCCCTTACGAATATAACCTCTATCCACTCCCAAATCTATTAAATACTTGCATGCCACATCATTTGAACTAGCATTGTCAACAGTCACGGTAAATAACTTCTCACTAAGACCCCATGATTCTAAACATTCATCAATTGCACTCCCAATAGCCTCCCCTTTGTGACTATAAATTTGACAAAAATTCAAAATTCTTTTTTGAAGCCTCCACTCATCATCAATAAAATGTGCAGTAAGACACATATAATTGATGTTTTGATTTGATGTCCATGTGTCCGTGGTGACTGAAAGTCTTTGACATGAGACTTTAAGAAAGTCTTTTAACTTCTCTTTCTCTTTGACATAATGCTTAAAACAGTCTCGGGCAATAGTAATACGAGAAGGAATATGAAAATTAGGGACAACAAGAGACATAAAGTGTCGGAAGCCAGGCTTTTCCACAAATCTAAAAGGTAACTCGTCAAGCACAATCATATGGGTCAGGGCTTCTCTAAGGTCGTCTAAGTTTACTACACGACTTTTGACACGAACATCCCCCTCCTCACCGTCAATTGGTTCTAAGTGAATGGTTGATTGCATACCTTTGCCTTTGTTCAATGGATTTTTTTCGCAAATAGCAGAATGAGCTTTTAAATTTTTATTCCCATTACGTGCAGAATCAGCAGCGAAAGTTGAATCACAATGCACACATTCAGCTCGCACATTGTCTTGATCATCTAGAAAGAATTCATAGTTTACCGAATAAGGAGCCCTTCGTTTGCTTCCCTTTGCAATGTAACGACGTCCTGGCCTTGGCTGTTTCGTTGGGTGTGGTATGTGTGATGAAGTGGTTGTCAGAAGACTATCGTCTCTTTTTTCCTCCGTTTGTTGACAAACCACATTAGGTGAAGGACTTGGGTCAGTTTCCATAAGATCTGCCCTTCGTTTCATTCTATATAAACTGCACACAAACAAATAAAAGCCCCAAAAAATATAGAGCAAGTCAGAAACTTAAAATTAAAATGTAACTTCTAACAATTCTGTCAATCAAAACTACTTCCAAAAGTTGAATAACTATCCAATACTCCATTTGATTTTAATGTGGATAGATAAAAAACATCCCAAGTTTTTATAGAAAAGAAAGTTTTAAGAGAGGAATGCATAAACTTCTACTCTTTTTTTCAAAATCTAATACTCGTATTATTAATGTACATAATGAATTGAAAAAAGATTTACCAAATATTTGAAACTTTACACAAAAAATACAACAGCTCTAGCAATGAAACTTCAAGATAATAAAATTAAAAAAAAAACATTCTTTCTGAATTTTTTGTGATCCCAGATTTCAAAATGGTGTTTTTTCTTGTATTCTCATTTGAATTGAAGAATCTCAAAATAATTTCATAAATAAAAAAATTAATAATAATTACAGCACACTAGAAGGTGAAGTTAATTAATAATTTAATTATGGATAAAAATATAAACTTAATAAAGATGTGAAATCAATTTTGAAACTTGAAAGATAGAAATTAAATCAAGAGAAATGTAAAAAGATAATCACCCAAAATCTTAAATCTTCGTTGTTCTTGATACTTGATACTTGATAGACCGGCGAAGCACCTTGAGGCCTGGAGGCTGGAGTCACCGGCGATTGCAACTCGGACGGTCACTCGGCGAAGCACCTTGAGGTCTGCGGTTTGCGAACGGAGGTCAGCAATTTGCGCCTCTTATTGCCGATTATGGGAAGGGAATTGGAGAATGAAGATTTGGAATTGGAGATTTGGAGTTAGGGAGAGGTGGAGAAATTTTGGGAAAGTGAAAGAATAGGAACCGAGTGACGATTCTGAGGAAGGGATAGGAGGATAGAATTACTCGTTAAAATTAATGGTCTCAGTCTTTTAGGTCTGGACCGGACCGGACCGAAACCCGAAATCGTAAAATTGGTGGACCGAAGACCGACCCGAAATCGTAAAATCGGTCCGGTTTCGGTCTGGACCGATCGGTCCGGTTCGGTCAGTTTTTTCGGTCTGGACCTAAACACGAACAACCCTACATACAATAGGTTAATATCATACCCATGCTCAAATCGTGCCAAAAAATTAAACATGCATTATTCAAATAATATTAAAAGAAAAGTCCAAATTTGTATAAAAAACATAACTTTCTTTAAGAAGGTATTGATTTCGAATTTAAATGGATTATAAACATAAAAGCAAACGAGTCCAATTTTAAAAATAAGATTTCTTTGAATTCATACAATATTCAACTATTAATAATTTCAAAAAAGTAATGCTCATAGTAGTAAAAAATATAACAACAATAATAGTGAAAGAATATTAAAAAGGAATAATACAATAAGAAATACTACCTTCGTCCTAGAGTATTTGTCCACTTTCATTTTTGCACACCATCCAATGCACTTCTTTAATTCATTTTATCTTGTAATTTGTATATTAAAAAATTATAGAAATTATATATTAATAATATATATGTTAAGACAAATCAAACAAGATCACACATGACTATATTTAGATTTACACATTGAGAGAATTTGATGAGTCAAAGTGATTCAATGAACAATTCCAAAAGTCAAAGTAGACGAATACTTTGGGACGGAGGGAGTAGGCAAATACGTAAATAGTTTTGAAAATTTCAATATTTGATAATCAATTTAAATTTTTATATCACGGTCTAGCTTTATTTGATTTCGTTTTGGGATGGAAAAAATCTAATCAAACAATAGGAGAGATTGTTACATCAATTGGAACTAATCAAACATTATAAGTCGTGCACTCTGCTCATCCTCTCCGTACAGTCCGCCACCGCCACCGTCACCGTCACCGCCTTGGCCGCGACGGCCGACGGCTATCGTCGAGGAATAGTATTCAACCACTGGTTAGGAGATGGCTCTTCACCAGCCCTACGACACCTACTACCGCCCCCAACCACTGCCCGTTCCGTACGCCACTAGCAGCAGAGGGGAGCGCGATATGATTCGAACAGTCTTCGTTTCGGGCCTCCCAGACGACGTCAAAGCGCGTGAAATTCACAACCTATTTCGTCGCCGTCCAGGTTTCGAGTCTTGCCAGCTCAAGTACACTGGCCGCGGAGATCAGGTCTGGTTCTTCTCTTTTCTCTTAACCTAATTAAAATGAAATTATATTACCTGCAGATACATTGTGTGCTATTATCTATCCATTGTTAGCTCTCTGTAGGCCATTTTCTTGTAAATATCCATTTACCATAAAAAGAGCTTGTTATTTGGTGAAATGCTTATATATTTGTAAATATCAGTTGATTTTCAATAGCTTTTAATTTTGGGAGCAGCTTTTTTTTAAATGTTTACTTTAGTGCATCATAGTGGTGAATGCTGAAACACGAAATTACTCTAACTTCGTTGCAATTTGCAAGACTGCAAGAGGCACCGTGTGAAAAAATATAAGGTAGAGTGGGATATTCTTGCAACGAAGGGAAATGTGGTAAAGAATGCTGTGACAATTATATACTGAAATACCTCATAATTATTTAACAGACAAACTTATCAGTTATAAGAGATCTTGATAAGCACTTCGCTAGAATAATTGCTATTTAGTAATAGTTCTATCAATCTGGACTTGATAATGTTCACAAAGCTTACTAAAATGTAGGATCAGCTGCTGAGAATAAATGATATTTAAGCAATGGTTACTCCATGCACCATGCCTATTTCTAGAGATTAAGAGTGTCATTGTGTTTTTTTTAACATTGAACCCTGTGGGTGCAGTTTTTTGACTTAGGTCAATCCGATATTGGTTTGTGAGTACTTCCTCTGTCCCACTCATTTGGGAAATGGGGCTGTGACACACTAATTTAAAGAATTAGAATTGTGTGGTTGATATTGATGTCATAGTTATCAAGGTGTCGCCTAGGCAACACTTAGGCGTCTGGGCGAGGTTTGGTGGACGCCAAATTGGTCGTCTAGTTTTTTTTACCTGGGCGACTCTGTGTTGCACGGAAATATCTGTCGTCTCCGCCTCGGAGACGCGTCTACGTTTTAGAAGCGCAAGGGACGCACGAGATAGATAGAAGACGAACGAGGAGGAGCAGACTTATCTTTCTCGCCTATTATTTGTCTCCGGCTGCACCGGCTTCCAGATCTGCGGCGAATTTCTTTCTATCTCTCTATCATTTAGTCTAGCAGACTAGGTCAAATAATTGGGCTAGATTCATTACAAGACTATTGAACCTTTACACAAGAGTCTAAGGCCCAAAATTATATAGACCTTTTAAAAGCTCACTTTATTGGAGTAGGCTTTTATAAATAAATACATAAATAAATAAATATAGTATAATTCTTTGTTTCATAATGTTGGTAAATGTACTTCTTAATTAATTATTTATTACCTATTAAGTTATTAAGGTTACCACAGCCCACTCGCCCAGGGGACGCTTAGGCGGGCGCTAATCGCCTAAGCGCGATTGGAAGTTGCTCTAGCGCTCAGCCTCGCCTAGCCGCCATAACAACTATGATTGATGTTAAAAATAAGGAAAAGTAAGAATGAATGTGAGCCACACAAACATTATTGAATGAGGTATGAGGCAAAAGTTAGTCATTACAGGACAAAAATAGTGTGAGTGTGACGGAGGGAGTAATATTTAAGTACTTTCTTTCCATCATGAAATTATATTAGGGGATAAAAGCTTTGTATTACTATTCTTTCATGGAATTAGAAGAATAGAAAAAAATGATAGTCCTTTAGTCACTTTCCTTGTTTCATATAAACAGCATCACACAATTCTGTGCGTGTGTGAGCCTGTTTTTATTTTTTAATGTTTCTCATTTGAGGGGGGGGGGGGTACATGAAGCAGTGAATAATTATTTGTGAAATTTACAGGTTGTAGCATTTGCCACCTTTGTCGATCATCAATCAGCAATGGGAGTGTTGCACTCATTAAATGTGAGATTGCCAAGCTTGGCCTATCACTTTCTTTTATTTCTGTATTATCATCTGATTGAGAATTTTTACTGCATTTTTTCCCCTTGGAATTTCACTTTCTTTTAGTTCAGAAGTATCTATTGATTGATAATTCTTAATACATGTTTCCATGTGTGGATGGGGTTGTTTCTCTAGCAAATATGGTCAGCTAGGTCTTTTCACTAAAAGTATATTGGTCCACTTGTTTGCTTTCTGTACACAGTACATCGTGGGCACTCAACTGTGCCATGGTGTTGAACTGTTGATAGCTTGTAAACGTAGAGCAGTTTGTTAAAATAATGATTCCAAGAATCAACATCAGAATTAGTGTGTTGTAATAATTTATTAATCCGAAAGTGCTCGACAATGATCCTGCTATAAGATCCAATTGAAGAGTTTCATTTAAGTGCTTTTGTGATGCGGTTCTGAAAAAAATGATAAAAAGCACAACAGGATCCGTTGTTGAGCAAGTTGTCAGAGTATCTAAAAATCTCAGAAATAGTGTCATCAGAAAAAGTTTTGACATCTGTGAGTGATACTTAGAGTATAAAAGCTTTCCTGGGCCCGCAATCACAAGCTTGATCTTGCGGTTGAGTTCGTTCCTTGACATGGTATTGGAGTGTTGCTCACCTAGAGGTGACGAGTTCAAATCTCGTCGCACCCCGTTTTAAAAATTTATTTTTACGTGAAAGGCTCGTGCAAAAACAAATCTCGCTTGCACGTGAGGGGGTGTTAGAGTATAAAACTTTTCTTGGGCCCACAATCACAAGCTTGAGCTTGCGGTTGAGTTAGTTCCTTGACGTAAACAAATAAATTAGAGTAGAGAGGCGTGAAATAAAGAAGATATGAAGGGAGATAGGCTATATAGCAATTTTGTTTCAGTGAGTACCTATGTACCAACTTCGTTTTAGTGAGTATTTGGTCTGAAAGTTTGGTCAAATTTGTAAAGCATTTGGTAGGTACTTATCAAACCCTATTAATAATCATAATGGAACATTGGCACCTTATTCTTTTGATGTCTTTCCTTACACTGCTGCAATTGTACTATTTGCTTTACTCATCATGGTCATCTAGAAATCGCCACTCTATGTTTTAAGCACAGGGGTCAAGCTGCGTACATCCTACCCCCCTTACCCCACAATGGGCGGGAACCTTTGAGGCACTGGGGTAATGTTGTTGTTGTAGAAGAAATTACTCTGTCGAGATTGCAACTACTTTCATATATATATTTTCCTGCATGTATACACCCACGTCTGATGGTCTATGTTTACAGGGTGTGAAGTTTGATCCTCAAACAGGATCCACTTTGCATATTGAACTCGCCCGAGCAAATTCTAGGAGGACAAAAAGACCAGGTGAATGGACACAAACACAAACAAACAAACACACACACACACACATCAATGTCACTGGGAATTGAAAAGGGGGCAATGGTTGAAATGTTACTTCTAGGGTATGTGTAATGAAACTGCATGTTGCTACCATTCATAGGGAGTGGGCCCTATGTTGTTATTGACAACAGATCTAAATCCAACAGAGATGCAAAAGGCACGTCAAGTGATGATGGTAAGCTCTCTGCCTTTTAAAAAATAATTAATTCCCTTAAGGCTCTGGCCGCTCTGCACAACCTCCAGTTTGGTTATTCTCAAACGCAAAAAACACTTTTTCATTTTAAAGCATGTTTAGTGGAGAGCTTTATTTTGAATGGTGCAGTAACTGAGTTAGAATTGTATTTTCATTCCCTTTTGTCTTAGTTTGTATGTAAAACTGATAAACTCCTCGACTGAATCTGCAGGTTCGAATGATACCGATTCTGATGACCCATCTAGGCCTAATGATTTTGATTCTGGCAACAGGGATGATTCATCAGAGAGGCGGCTGAATGAACCTGAGACACAGAATAACGGGTCTCTTACAATGCCACCTCTAAAGAAAATTAACGGATATTATCATATGTATGCATCTAATAGTCGTTCTTTTTGAAATGTCAACACTAATAATATTTTCTGGCATTGATCAGTGGTGAGAAACTGGGCGACTATGGTAATGTTTTGGCTGCACAAAATGTAAGTTTTTTTATTAGCTTCCTTTAATAATATTAATAATAACTAAGTAGTAAACCCTTCATCTCAAATTAAGTGAGTGTGTATTGTAGGAACAGGCGGAGAAAACAGGAAATGGTGCACAGCCGTGTTCCACTTTATTTATTGCCAATCTAGGTCCTGACTGCACAGAAGATGAACTCAAGCAAATCCTTTCTCAGTGAGTTCGTTTAGAAATCCACTTATGAAACCGATGGTTTTGTCTCTCAGTCATTACACCATATCTTCTTATCATAATTCCCTTTGACATGTCATTTATGATGTTTAGCTACCCACTCCTGCAAATAAGTAACCTTTTAGTGCGTGCAATCAATCTATAACATATCTTTTTTTATTTTTAAATTAGGTACCCTGGATTCAACACCCTGAAGGTTCGATCTAGAGGTGGAATGCCAGTTGCATTTGCTGATTTTAAGGTACTGCCCCGTGTAGTTGTTCAATGCACGCATGGTAAGGCCTGAAATGACTGAATCTGCTGAAGTTGTTTCTTAACTGGCCGAATCTGCTGAATTATGTTAAAACATTAAAATTATACTCTTGTCCAAAAAAAGAAAGTTTACACTCCTTTTTACAACAAAGCCTTTTCCCACTAGGTGGGGTTGGCTACATGGATCAAACAATGCCATTGCGCCCTATCATGTACCATATCTGCAGTGAGATCATTCACGTGAAGGCCCCCCTTGACCACTTCGTGCCAAGTCTCTTTACGATGTCCCAAAGTAGAGTTTGCATTTCTTCATTTTCCTATTTAAGAAAGGAATATGCGACTCTCAATATTTCTCTCTTTTAAACAAATCTCAACCACACTTGGTTTACTTTTTAGCATTCTTCATGAACCCCATGAAATCAAATTGTGACTTTATTTTGGGACGGCGGGATCATTTTAAATAAAAATATCTCAAAGTAGGTGTAGAAGCATAATTATCTTCCATTTCAGCCAAAAAAACAACTTTGCACTACTTTTCATGAGTGAAATTAGGTAGCATTTGGCGAAAAAACTGAATACGTAGCCCACCAAACTAGCTCTGAAACATGATGTTAATACTATCTAACTTCATTTTTCTAAAAAATGTGTTGCATTATGGTACGCACTGACTTGGCATATATTTTGATAGGATGTTGAAAAAGCAACCGAAGTCATGAATGCACTTCAAGGAAGCACGTTGCCCTCATCAGATCGGGGTGGCATGCACATAGAGTATATACTTATATATATATATATATTCCTTCTCAAACAGTCATACTTATATGAATACTGTTGTAGTACAGGCCATCAATAACAGATTCCCTTTCTGTCATTATTAAATCTCACAGTACTTTTCTATTGACAGGTATGCTAGATCTAAAATGAGGAAGCCTTGAATCACGTTTTTGGAAAAAGCTGTTGAGTACTCTGAGGGCCACACTGCTTTACTAAAAAGAGGACGAACCCCATCCATTAGGTCTCCTTAAAACTGGCACCACAATTATTTGGGAGAAGTTAAATTGAGTTATAATCTCAATTTAAACTTTATTGGTTTACTGAAGCGTGATGGCGATGACTTCATTATCACATTTGGTTTTTGCATGTGGTAAAACTTTTCCATTTTTATTTTTTTGATCATGTACGAATCTTATACTAGTAAGTCGTTGCTCTTGTATATTGCCATCTTTGAAGTACCCTAACCTATACGGCCAAGTACTATACGAATTATGTAGTAGTAGCTAATCATATTTAATGACTATTTTCTGTCTTTATAAGTTGGTCAAAATTGTTAATAAATTGTTTTTAATTCATTAGTTAGTTGATGGCGTAGTTCTCTCTTCTTATAAGCTACGGAGTAATTTACAAGTTGTTTATAAGTCAGTTGTTTTTACTCTATAATTTACTAGTTAATTCATAAGTCGATGATGGACACATTTTTCTGTGCATACTTGTTGAGCTTGTTTTTGTGTTATTTATTAGTAAATAAACTATTTCTAACCGTTTATAAATACTTCCTCTGTCCCATTTTAAATTGCCTGTTTGTCTTTTTTCTTCGTCCCAAAATAAGTTGCTTATTACTTGTTATCGTAAATTTTTAAGAGTAAAATACCTAAACTACCCCTAAAATAAATCATTCTTCTCCACCTTATCTTCTCATTCATTGTGATCCTTCCTAAAAAGTTATGACAATTTCAAAAAATTAACTCTATTTTTTCTCTTTCTTAATATGCCCAAAAGTCAAAACAGACGATTTAAAACGGGACGGACGGACCGAGGGAGTCTCTAAATGATTTATCTCTCATTTAAGCCACTTAATAAAAAATACTCCTTCCGTCCTAAATTTATTTACAGTATTCGAAGTTGTAAAATCTCATATATTTTTAATAACTTTATCTATAAATTGTTATTAAAATGAAAAATTCAAATTATATATTTAAAAACTATATCATAAGTTTACAAATTAAGATGTTATAAGAATATTACTCCCTCCGTCCGGATTTTAAGTTCCCGGTTTGACTATTCTCCATTTTTAGTGGAAGTTGACTTTGTCTACAATTTGTCCAAAATGCCCCTAAAGCCCAATCCTTCACAGCAACCGATTGCTTGCCGCACCAAACAAACCCCAAGCACGGAACTGTCGGAACACATCGCCGCACCAAACAAACCCCAGTGGCCAGTGCGACAGATCTACTGCACAATCCGAGCAATCTCTCCCTTTCTCTACTGCGCAAACCAGGCCCAAGGCGAATTTCTTGCCGCACTAATGGATCTTCAGATTTTGTAGATCTGAAAAAAAGAGACCCAAATCTGGTAGAAGAAGAAAATGACAAAGAAAAAAAAAGAAGGGGGAAGAGACGGGGGAGATGAAGGCTAGATCTAGCCGAGAAAAGAAAGGAAAGAAGAAGAAGAAGAATAAGAATAAGAATAAGAATAAGAAGAAGAAGAAGAAGAAGGAGATGGAGGAGGAGGAAGGAGAAGGGGAGGAAGATAAGGAGAAGAAAAGGGGGAGGGGAAGAGAGAGAGAGAGAAAGAATTCACCTGTGGTGGCGGAGATGAAATTGGCCGACACAGAGAAAAAGAAACACGGGAAAGGATGGGAAATGAAAAGAATTAAAGGGTATTTTGGGAAGATTGGGTATGAAAACGTAGAATGAGAACTTTATTTCCGGACGAAGAAAAGCGTAGACTGGGAACTTAAAATCCGGACGGAGGGAATATATTTTATCAAATGACGAGTGAAAATACAAGCAAAAGTTATCAAAGTTCTCATTATCCCCTTGCTCTTTGGTGGCAAGAGTTTAAGGCAATTTTTGAAGCTACGGTCTATTCTTCTACTGGAATTTTCATGGGGGCCGTCAATGGCCCGCTTCCTTGTTGTTTGAGTGCGTTAATGGCAGAAATGTTGGTGGTCAAGGAAGTGATATCGTGTCTGAAGGGTCGTGGATTTCATTCATGCAAGGTGTTTTCATATTGCTCTGCTTTGTGTCAAAATCTTGCTCAATTTTCTAAGACAGATTCTACATTTGCATCATTAGTTTTGATTGTATGAGAAGCTTAGATCCTTTCACCGATTGCGCGTTCCATTTTAATCTTGGAAGCGCTAATGTTATTCCGCTCTTTGGCTTTTGTCGCATTTGGGCAAGCCAATAAGTTGTACAGGGATTGTATCCCTCCTGACTTTGTCCCAATTCAATTATAATGCATTTTGGTTTAAAAAAGAAGAAGAGATTATCATCGCTGCGATTTTGATAAACATCAAATGTACATGTGATCATACGTGTGTTTGAGCGTAAATCATACTCGGTAATTTATAAAAGGGTGTTTTTCCGTAGCCACTAGTTTACTGAGCCACTACCACTGCCACTGTTTCTTTGGAACACCTCTGGTGCTCCGTTTGCAAAATTAATAGTTCTTACCTTCCCTAAACCGCCCCTCAAGTCCTACCCCTTGCCCCCTTCCAAATGCGTGGCTATTATGCATTTGCTGGGGTGGGAGAAAGGGGGCTAGGGTGGGGGTTAGAGGGTACAAATCATCAATTTTACGAACGGAGCATTAGAAGTACTCCGAAAAGGCAGTGGCAGCGACAGTGACTCTAACGCCCCAAAATATACCCTAGAATTATTAATGAATAATTATTCAATTAATCAAATTTGTTTTGATTAAAATAAATTGTTGTTGGGCTTNTATGATCTTAATTTGGGGAACCAGAGTATAGACCCAAATTAGGGATTTGTTTATAATGTGAACTTTGAAATGATTTATTGAAATAAATCATGAAAATAAATAACATGAATTAAATATATGAATTTTATTGAACAAAGGTCAATTAAATGAATTTTGACTCTGTCAAAGTCAACCACCCAAAAATATGATGTCAGAAAAAGTATTACAAATAAATATGAAAATTATATCATTATGTAGAGTTTGACTGTCTGACCCCAATGGTTCAATCGGATTTCAATTTGGAGAAAGTTGGAACAAAAAGTGTACCCTGTTTGAGACCAAAATTAGTCCCAATCAGAGACTACACACCAAACCGCGCCCTGTTCAATTACGCGATTCCAAATTCGTCGCTCAATCACGGAAGCTGCAAACCTGTGTCTTCTTCTTCTTCCCTGGGCTATTTAAGGACAACCCAACTCCCTCATTTCAACACCAAAACAACTCATTCTTCCTTCTATATTGTTCCTTGCTGAGAGTAGAGTGCAGTGGTGCTGTCATCTTTGTGTGAGGTCGCCGGAGCAGTGAGATAGAGTCGCCAGAAGTTTCGCCGGAAAATCTTCAAAAACCTCCCTTACGCTTCAAGGTAAGCCTGTAGATATATCTAATGACTAGAATGTTCATATAGGTTGTTTCTACATTCATAAATGGTCATTTGGTTGAGTTTTGTGTTTGACATGTTTGAAGAACCGAGAATCATAAACCTTGAATTTGATGTTAAAAATATGTTTTAATGATTCTAAAATGATCTATAAACCTGTGAGGACATTTCTATATAATTTAATTGAAGTTTGGTGATTAAAAATGATAATACTCGAAACTGACCAGAGGAAGAAGATGATGAACAGTAGCCGAAAATCGATTATTTACTTCTAAAAAATCGATTAGAATTATGTCCAGAAGAGGATGTTCGAAGTCAGTATAGAATTGATTATTTAAAATATAAAAATCAATTTAAAAGTATTAATCGATTATTTTGAAACTAAAAATCGATTTTTAGTCATTAAATGATTATTTAAAATTTAAAAATCGATTTTTAGCATTTAATTGATTATTTAAAATTTAAAAATCGATTTTTAGCATTTAATTGATTATATAAAATTTAAAAATCGATTTTTAGCATTTAATTGATTATTTAAAATATAAAAATCGATTTTTAGGTATTAATTGATTATTTTAAAAAAATAAAAATCAATTTTCCTCAAGTTCAGATCCTGTTCTGAAAATATTATTGAAAATATGCTCTAAAATCCTATTTTGTTACCAATTAATTATAAACCATATAAATATGGTTTTGTACAATAAAAATGATGCTTGTGACATATAAACATTTTGTGATGCTTGACGGTAAGTTCGGGTGTTAACACTCGAGACTAAGCCGCTATTTGTTATTATGCATTATGACGATTGTTTGATTATTGATTATAATGAATTAATGATGATGAACGTTTTGAATGATGATCATGAATTGTTAAAGTGAAAATAATGAATTAATGAATCGTATTGTTAAGGATATCTAGAACAACTCTAAGATATACCCACTTGTATATTGATTATGATTATTAAGGATATCTAGAAGAACTCTAAGATATACCTACTTGACCAATTCATATTTCGGGTTAAAACGTACGTAGGGGATCCAGACCGGATATCAACCACCCGACAAATCATTGTTCGGTTGGTACGTAATCCACATGACTCATAGGGTGGATTATCGATTCTTGTGTTCTGCATTAAACTATTTATAGTTTAAGGGCCTGGTTAGAAATGTTGTCTTAGACTCGGAGAAGTTAAGAGTTGTTATGAAATGATTTGGCCTTAGATTAAGAATAATTTAAGAGCATTATTGATATATTGAATATCAAATGACTTGGAATAAAATATGGAAAATATTATGAATAATTGAACCATATATTGTGTGCATGATATCAAATGGTTGATTGTGAATTGAGATTCAATTTATGTGGATGTTCGACGCTTTAGATATGCTTACTCAGCTTCACCGCTGAGCGTGTAGTGTGTTTATTTGCTACACGCAGGTAGGCAGAATGAATGATTGGCTGATTCCTGACAGGAGAAGGGGCGAGACAGTCGTGGTAGATTATTGAATGAAATAAATAATTATGTTGTTATGAGACAAATTTTAAAGTCGCTTCCGCATTTTATTTAAACACTCTGTATTTCTCTGCAATTATGTATGGAATATTATTTATAAATAAAAATGTTTGAAATGTTTTAAATTATCACGATTACCAAATCAATACTTTAGTTCGAAAGGGCTGCAGACTTGGACGGATTAGGGTGTTACAGTGACTACGTAAGCCAATGGCTATGGAACCGTTGCGTTTTTAGAATTGGTGATTATTGAATAAAAACCACTTGTCCATTCTTAACTAAATGGTTTAACAATATCATTTGTTAGCTATTGTATATCCTACGTACAAAGGGAGAGTCTAGGTTTTTAGTCCTTATTGTTTGTTGGCCTTATCCTTGTGACAAAAATAAAGAGTAGGAATGGGTGTCGTATGAGTTGTCTAGTTGGCTTGGGATTGTAGCGTCCTGCCATGTCATGGAGTCAAGGAGGTTATGC